TTGTTTTTCAGTTAATTTTTATCAAAATACATTATATATACCTTAGAAGAATAAATATTCTAATGAAATTTTTTAATGCATTCTAAATACACTTGTGCATGTACTGATTTGTTTGTATTTATTAATTTTAAAAAGAAATTAGTGTTTAGCCTATAGAAGTTTACATGCTTGATGTAATTTAAATAAAAGTTATCTTGCTTCATATATGTTTCCATGTAGATTAATTTCAAATAAGAACTCTACTTGTCACAATATTCTGATATTCAAGACACAGTCTCCTCTGGGTTTTTTCCCTAAGTGTATAACATGGACATTTTTAACACTTAAGGGTTTTAACCATACTGAAGTTAACATTAGATAAAACAGGAGAGGAGTATCAAGTATTTTTATTCTGCTGTTTCTTTTTATTCTGGGGTACTATTTCAATACAATACACCCTGATATTTTGCACAGTTTAAGAACTTAGGATTATAAACCTTTATCCTGACCTCCATTCTGAAACTGGATTAGAAAACAAATAAAAGTAAGTTGTATGATTTTCTCCATTTAAAATGTTTATTGTGAATGTAGTTCTTGTATTACACATTTTATCATAAAATTCTTTTATATGAACTTTGACCTATACTGAGTAAAATTAACAATTTATTCTATAATTTTGGAACCTTCTTAATACTTTTTTATCTAGGAAATCCGCATAAAAATGTCACTTTTGCATATAGTACTACCTACTATTACTAGATAATTTTGAAATTATTAGTGATCTCTAACTGCATTGTTTTTCACATGCCGTTTATGACAGCTCTTTTCATTATTTAACAACTAAGAAACAAAAGTGAAGCATAAGAAGAATAAAGGTAGAGAATGAATTTCTAAACAAAACGAGGCCGTCATGGTTAACTTACCAAATCTTTTAAGAATTAACAAACTGAAAAACTGGTTTGTGTTTTATTGTCTGTTAGAGAAATCTTTTAGTACAAACTGTTAAAATATTACAGCAAAATTGATACCATTTATAGTTTGTAAATGTGTCAGAAGGTGGCGCTACATATACCTGAACTTTAGCCACAAACTTCAACTTTTAAAAATATTCATAAAAATGCAATGATCTTTAATATTATATCCTACTTCCAAAGAAATGTTTCTTTATAGGGGAAAGTTGTTTATTAATAAATCGAATTCCTTAAATTGTAAACGTTAAGTAATACTCGTGGTTTCAATGAATGTGCATTGTCTTTCAATTTCGTTATCGAATTTTCTTAAGGTTAAAAAATACACCAAGAACAGACCTGTTATTGAAAGGGTGAATTTCTATATGTAGTATGATGCACTGACATAATGTTTTGGGACCTATTGGTCCATTTTGGCTGTTCCATCCTGTAAACTGAATTAAAATAATTTTAAAAAAATCTTGGATAGCCTTTATCATTCTTATCAAGCTTTTTCTTAAACTCACTTAAATTTACTGCCTCTACAACATCCG